CACAATTAAAGAAAGCGGTGGGGGACAAAAGGGTAGAAAAGGAGTTGCCTGAGGAGTTACAAGTTGAGGGACCGAACTTCTGGCCCATACCTGTACTGGATCAGAGGCAAATACAACAAGCAGGGGAGGTATTACATCAAGTTTTGATCGAGTGGCAGCAAGAAGGTAAAGAGGGAGCTACATGGGAAGATGTAGCAACTATTCAGGATCAATATCCTGAGTTCAACCTTGGGGACAAGGTTGCTGAAAAGGGGGGGAGTAATGATAGGAGGTTATTGGTGTATGAGAGAAGAAAGAAACGTTAGTTATCTAACTGTACGTTAGTTATCTAACTGTTTTACAGTTAGATAAGGGGCGGGAATGTTATTGTATAAATAGGAGTTTGGTAGTTGGAGAGAGGGCTTTTGGATTCGTTATTGTTTGTCTGAACAGGATAGTTATTTCCTGTTGGGGGAGGTTAGGCTCCCATACTTTGACTCTTCTTGTATTCTTTCTCTGTTCAATAATATTTCGGAGGTTATACAGTATTTTTGGCTGTTCTTGTGTGTTGAGAGGGATATCGATTAGGTTTCTTTATAGGAAACCTAACAGACACTCTACCACAAGATATTGTCTTTTACTTGGAGAAAATATTATCTATTGGAAAAGTAAGAAACAAAATGTTATACAATCATCTGTTGAAGTTGAGTATAGAGCAATGACATTCCTCACATGTGAGCTTATATAGGTAAAACAGTTCCTTTAATACTTAAATTTTTGTGAGGTTCAGCCAATGAAGATGGATTGTGATATCCAAGATGCTCTTCACATTGCTTCCAATTTATTCTTCCATGAGAGGACTAACCACGTTGAAATTGACTGTCGTTTCATTTGAAAAAAATTGCTACCTAAGGAATTTTGCACGAGTTTGTTGGATTAAATGATGAACTTGTAGATGTACTAACAAAATCCTTGAGAGGACCTAGGATTGAATATATTTCTTCCAAGCTTGGGACATACAATATGTATGCTCCAACATGGGGATAAGAATGTATTAAAGTTTTGGTACTAAGATTGTAATTTTTTTTTCTTTTTTAACTAAAAACGAAATATATCACTGCTTTTTGTATTGATCCGACTGTTTACCCTTAAAAATATGATGAATTGAATAGTAAGATTTTTTTATATTTTTTCCTAATTTACAACGTGAAGGTTTATTCAAGATTCTGAATTCTTAATCTTCTGTGGTGTATCAATTGGTATCTTGTTTACAGACAAGACTTAAAAGTCCTTTAATAATTTTTTATAGTTTTATTTTAGCTAGTGATTTCTTAATCTACGTGGTTGATCTATTGGTCTTTTTTGTTGCAGACAAAACTTAAAAGTGCTGTTCAGCTGCAAGACCTTTTAGATGCCACACGGATGCTGGTGCCTCGCACCAGGTATGTCACCCGAACAAATATTGATCTAGTTAGCATCCCATGCAGTTTATTAGCTTACTGTTTGGGTAACTGGTTTCAGGATTTTAGCATACATGCATGTGTTCTTGCATGTGTGTTGAGTGCCCAGATTGCATGTTCCTAACTTAGGTTTAAAAGTAATTATTTTTCACAACTTGTTGGGGTTATTAATACAACTGCTCTAATGATGCTCATTAAAGTAAAAATCTTTATTATGTGGTCTCCTTGTGACAATAACTTGATAGATAAATCAGGTTTTTACTAATTATAGCATTATAATGTGCCTAGGAATTATGTTGTATCCATCATAAACCTTTTTAGGGACTTTCTGAACAGGTTAAGAATCACACTGGCTATGTTCTTGCTCATGCTAGTAGAGCTTGATCAACTAATACTCACCTCGAGTATTTCAGTTAAATTTTCATTTAATTTAGTATATATCTTCTGTGAAAGGTAGTTCGGTGCTTATAGTCTGTCTAGTTTTAACTTTTTTTCTGGGTGTTGGTTGTTTATAGTTAGTTATGCAAACTAACTCTTGCTCCGCTCAGCTTTGTTGCTAGAGAGGCGATTGATGAGGTCTGATAGGCTTCTAGACATGCATAGGAGTTGAAAAGCTCTTTCTTGCTTTACTTTTATTCTTAGTTTTGTCAGTTTCTGAAGGATTCAAGGGGTAGTTATTCTAAAAGCTGAAGCTTTTGGGCTTATTTTGCTTTTGTCATATAGTTTTAGAGCTTCTATAGTCTATCATTCCTATCCTTACTTCATTATTTAATGACAATAACAACCAAGCATATCCCTCTAAATTGGGTACGGCTACATGGATATCTTTGCGGAGGACCTCTTATATGCATATTTTCTTTCCTTTCAAATGAAATTTCCTCATTTTTTAAATGTTCAAGCAAGAATAATGCATCTTTCATTTCATTAGCTATGCTAAAAAACGGACTCTTTCTGTTGCATGTATACTTTGCCATTTATACGTACTACTAATAGTTTCCACCAATTTGTTAGTCAATACATGCATATGCTTAGTTGGGTTTTGGAATTAACTTTATATTTGTATATATTTAGACCAGATAGTGACAGTGAGGCTGAAGATATCGATCATGCTGAAAAGCTTCGTCAAGTTAAAGTAGTTCTTGAGGAGGTTATTAATTCCCTTGGCACTGTTTTATCTATTATTAATAATCTATTATACTTTGTATTATGAACCCATTAGTCATTTGGAATTTGAATTAAATTCAGTTTTTCTTGAATGCTCTCTGCATTAACTTATGCCCTTGATTGGGTTTGTTTTTCATTCCCCAAGAAATATCAGTTCTATATTATCTGTCAGGTACAGCTCTATATGAAAAAAAAATAATTCGAATTGATGGCCATTTTGGATTGGACACATACTCTTATGAGGGCGTAAAAGAATTCATTCTTATTTTTTTCAAGATGTTGATTAAGCTATATGGTGGAATGCAATGCCCAACATGGCTGAGGCCCATGACTTGTTGACCAAAAACTGGGCAAAAGTAAGGAAAGGTGGAAACACTTTCCTACCTGGGTTGTCAGTCATAAAAAATGAAATTAATGATGTTTCTCTTTGTGCATAATACAGGATATTGTCTTTTAGCTGAGACATGCCAAGCCAAACTGATACAGCATATAAGCTTGCGTGTCCTTTTAAAGCCTGTAAAATTGCTACCTTTGCTTTTCATCAAAGTCGTAAATTATTTCATTTCTTTTCCTTTTCTAATATTATCAGGGAGGACATTTCTCTGGCATATATAGGAAAGTTCAACTAAAACCACTGAAGTGGATCAAAGTGACAAAAGGCAATGGTGAAATTGAAGAACAACCTATTGAAGCTCTTATGATTCTTAAATATGGTGGCGTTCTTACGCATGCTGGCAGAAAGCAGGTTATGAGGCTTAATTTTATATACTGTTAATATTGTTAGAAATAAAAAAGAATTTCCATTTATAATCTTCTTTCCTAGTTTTTTGAATTACTTTCTCTTTTGCAGGCTGAAGAGCTGGGAAGATATTTCCGGAATAAAATGTATCCAGGTAAAAATTCAATTTGGTTTTATTCAATAAATAGTTGAAATAGGAGGAATATTGTTGATGTTCAAACTGTCCAGCGATTCTTCTTTTATATAGGAAATTACATAAAATAATAAAGTAATTTACTAAAGTGTGGAAATTGAACATCCTAAATTAGGGACCAAAACTTACAAATAGGGTCAAATGTAGGGACCAAGGGAATAATTTAACCTAGTATGTATTTGTGTTTTAGTCTGTGTAAGACATGTTTCATACAGAACCATACATTCGTATTTCATATAGCATGAACTTGTCAATGGCTTGTACTGTGTATGAAGGAAAACTTTTTGTGTGCTATAAATCACAGGAGAAGGTACAGGTCTACTTCGCCTCCATAGTACATACCGTCATGATCTGAAGATTTACAGCTCTGACGAGGGTCGCGTGCAGGTATGGCCTGAGTTGTGCTCACCTTAATCAAGAAAGTCCAAGTGGTTATCATTATCAATGCTGCAATTATGCTTTGGCCTTTTTAGTCATCCTAATTTGTTCTTTGGCATCATGTGAGCCATTTTTTCATGACCTGTGTTAAACAGATGTCTGCAGCTGCTTTTGCCAAAGGTCTTCTCGACCTAGAGGGGCAGCTAACTCCAATCCTGGTTTGTGTTCTTTCTGGTGAAGAAAATATTTTATTGTTTTTTTATTGGATATACTTGAGATATATAAAAAAGAGAGAAAATTATTTAGAGTGCTTAATTTTCCTTTCTTAGGTTCTCATATTCATATTGGGAGTGGTTGTCCTCATATACAATGAGGAGAGAGATCAGTAAAAAAACAAGAAAAGTCATATATTCTAACACTCACTCTCAATATGGAACATACAAATATTATATAACAAGCTTGGAATAAATAAATTCAATTTGAGGTCCTCTCCAAGATTTCGTTAACACATGCAAGTTGATCACTGGATCTAATAAGTTTTCTTCCATTATTTAGATTGGTTGTATGGTACATTACTCCCATCTTCTTCTAGGTTATCGTGGAAACCTTGGCCAACGAACCATATTTCAATTGATGTAGATTGAGAGATATAATTTTTCTCATTCAGTTTCTCATAATTAGCGGCAGGAGTTCCAGAAAAGGAGGTAGTAGGTTTGGAAGACATATTGACATAGGAGAACAACAAAAAAGAACAGAGTAAGAAACAAACCGTGAATCATATTTGACCTTCAACCAACCTAGAAATGGAGAATCAAAGGGTAAAACAGGGGCTAGGAGGTCTGGAAATCCCTATGGAGGAAGCGCGATGTCACTCTTGTGAGAGGAAGGTGGCGTGTGGACATAATGTTCCTAGCAGTAGCAAATGGAAAAGGTGCACATGGGGCAAATTCAGTCTCTAAGACTTGTGGGTTTGGCCGTCACTTAGAGAGGCACTCCAAATCTAGTTGTCACCAAATAAAACTGTGACAAGGACAGTGACGGACAATGGTGGTTGCTAGTCGGAAGGCGTGTACTTTTCCAAACAAAACTAAGAGAGGCAAAGTGGATAGATATTTTCTGATATCAACTTGAGATAAACAAAAAAGAGATTATTATTTAGATAATTTAATTTTCCTATCTTAGGTTCTCGTATTTATATTAATAATGGCTGCTCGTAGATACAATGAGGAGAGGGAAGAGTAAGAGACAAGAAAAGTATATCTAGAGTCCTAGGCACAGGATAGGTACAACACAAAACAGTTTTTCAATAAAGCCTATTTTTAAAACCTATTTTAAGATATATATATTTGACTGATTTTTGATTATTCTTTTAAGGTTTCCCTTGTTAGCAAGGACTCCTCCATGTTGGATGGACTTGAAAATGCCAGCTTTGAAATGGATGAAGCCAAGGTTTGTAATCTCTTTTGCTATTTATATTGTCTTCTATACTAGAGGAATTTCTCAATGTTTGTGAAAGTGAATTATGATTGGAAACACAAAGAACTTGGTTGCTCGACATTTAAGAGACGGATGGATGGGAAAATATAAATGACATACCTTAGCTTTAGTGGAGAGTAACCGTGTAGTTAAATTTGATCAATAAATTTGTTCATGACTTCTTTTGTAAATTGATAAAATTATTTCTTGAGCAGGAGTTGGAGAACTTGTCTAACTTCATCTATTATCTTATATTTAGCTAAACATGAAAATTGTATTATTATTCAGTATTTTTGAGGCACAACAAATGATTGCATGTTATGATTAGATGTCATTAATATCATATGGTTTGGAATGTGGAGAATAAAATAATTGATTAATACGATCTTTGTTGGCATATGATTGTTGTGGGTATCAGTTTAGTTGAAATGTCAAAGTAAATAGTAATGTCTAACATAGTTGAAATGTTTAACTATTATTTAGTGATTGTATCCTTATGTAATTAACTCCATTGCTATTTTTTTCTGAATTGTGTTAACCATAGCAAGAGGGAGGGAACCTCTGTAAAAAAACGTTTAGGGTTATGAGACTTAAAATTTGGAAGAAATATAACATCTTTTTAGTTTAAACCAAATTTCTAAAATTTATTAATTGACATATATAATACTATATAAACATTGGATCTTTGTCTCAAATAATTTACTCGGTAAAATAACTAGAGAAATGGTCAATTTGCAACCCAGGTCCAAATTGCTAATAACGGATGTAAGGTGCTTAAGCCCTTCCCGGTTCCTACATTTTAGTAAGATTTGGGGTTACTGCAATGCTAATATACCTTTTATCTTCCTCTTTTTGTAGGCTCGGTTGAATGAAATTATTACAAGTAAAGCTACGACAAGTGATAGCAATGGATCATCTGAATTTCCCTGGACGGTTGATGGTGCTGGATTGCCACCCAATGCATCAGAATTACTGTCCAATTTGGTATTGTTTTGTAAATCTTGCTCTCAAACTTGGTTCCTTAGAATTTGAACAATGGTGTTTACAAATTTTCATCACATAAAAGGATTCAAAATACACTTGCAAACAAGAAAGGAAACAAAAACTTAATGACACTATAAATAACACTGGAAAAAAGATGACCAAGACTGTGTTGAAGCCATATTAATAGGTTTCCAAACTTGTTTGTTGTCTAGAAGAAAAAATATTGTGGTATTGCCTTTATCTTTTTCATCCAGCAAATAGTACAACAAAGTTGAATGTCGTATGTGATCCAAATAACATACTTCACCTAGTAGGATAAGGCCTTGTTTGTTGTAGTTAGTTTAAATGGTGAGGTTCAAGAATTTGTGTTTTCAAAATAGTGAATTTCATTCCATTATCAATCTGAATCATTTTTAATTTGCTTCCTATAGTGTCTCTCTATATGATTAATTGAATTTAAAATAGCTCATGATACTGAACTTTAATCACTAAACAAAATAGACCAGACTGCCTGATAAAGTCGTGTTATAGTCAAGAATAGTAAGTACTACTACTCTTTCTAGTATAGAGGAAAGAAATAGGATGAATGAAAATAAGGAAAGTGAGCGGAAATAGTTGAGAAATAAAGTGGAGTTAAAGATGTTCAGTTAAAAAGAAGCAAAGAAAAGATGAAGGAAGAGATGTTTGGAAATAGATGAGAAATATTACCGCGAGTCCGACCATTTTAGAATTATTTCCAATTTATTTTTCCTCTTCCAAACACATCATCTTTTTTCAGTTATCCATCCCCTCTATTTCTTGCTAACCAAACATACCATACTAGAAGATGGAATTTCGCAGAATTCCCAAATTTCAAAGTGAATTAATTCAAAAATTAATAGCAAGGTTGCATAATGAAAAGTTGTAGTTTTCTTTCCCTTGGGCACAAGTCACATGCTTTATTTTCAAATTCATTATTTTTGGCACTAACATTTGAGATTAATTCAATAATCTTTATAGAAGGATCTCCCATGTGTTCATGCCAAATAAAAAAAAACATTCCACCAACTTTGTCGAGATATTTTAATAAGTTTTAGATTTTATTCCTATTGGTTTTATTACTAGCATATCAATCTTGCAATCTTAGGGACTTGTTTCCTAGAATAGGCTATGCTTGTTTCCTAAGTAATCCAACCAATGTATGTATATATATTGGATGCATGTAATGAGACAAAAATAAGAGAGAAATTATTTTTTCTGAACTCGAGACGATATCAGAGCTCATAATCCTTGGGAGCCTCTAATCATGTGATTTAATTTCAGCTTTCATTACTATTTAAACCTAATTGAATTCTTCATTGTTGTGTAAACCTAATTGTAACCTTCATTACTGCATGTTCTCTGTGTGTGCGTGTAATGAACCTTCATTGTTGCATGATCTCATATCAATTTATTTCTTTGTACCTTAATTGCACATAATTGTAATGGCTAAAATGAAAAATGAAGGAGTGTGGTGTACTTATTTCAACAAGTCACACCACACTAGGGCCAAATATTGGAAGTTGCATGGAAACCCCTGAAAAAGGTTGTGATACAAGAGAGGTCCTCCAAAGAGAGGGGATCAGGCAGCTCATGTTGTTGCTCCCCATGTTGATGTTGTTTCTAAAAATCAAAGAGGATCTATTCAATTCAACCATGAGGAGCTAGAAAGAGTAAGTTCCTCCCTTAGTAAATTGGAAAAATCCACAGGTTTGTGTTCATTGACATATCGTGGTAAGTCACCTTTCTATTGGATTTAATGTCTCAAATACACTTTTGACCCACTATTGGATTTTAGACTCTCAAGCCATAGATCATATGACAGCCCTCCATAAAGTTAAAGTAGGATGAACCTATGAGGTTATATTGCCAATAAATACGTAATCAGCATAGCTCACAACCTAGTACAACATGAAAGAACTAAGCATATTGAAGTGGATAGACAAAGTCCTTAAGGGGACCTAGATTGAGTTCGTTTATTCCAAGCATGTTGCATACAATTTGTATGCTTCAGCTTAAGGGGGAGTATTAGAATAATTATATCTATGTATTATCATTAAGTCTAGGCATAAGAGGTAGAGTGTTAGGAACATTTATCAATTGTACCTAGAGTCGTATCTTGTTTTTCACCTAGGTGTCTAGTTCAATCCCTTAATCTTCTTCCATGGATTCTTGTATCAGTTTTTCATTATAAATAAAAGATTAAGAGTGGGGTCCAAAAAGCCTTCTAAACATATTTTTTCTCTCTGTTTTGAATCTCAAGTCTCTAGTCGATGTGGGATATCCAATAGTGACAAAGATCATAAAGACATTGAGGTGTATAAATTTTGACAAAGATCATTGTCCTAATTATAGTACTAGAAAAACAAATGTTATAACAAATTACTACCAATATCCCCATTGCTAGAAGGTTCCTTTCTATGCGAAGGCATGGGAGAGGGTCATTGTAGGCAACATTATATGCAAAGAGACTATTTCCAAATTTGAAGGCTAACTGGTCTTGGATGTGCAACTTTACCATTACGCTAAGGGTCATCCTCTAATAGACCATAAATAAAGTTGTAATCAAAATTTTCCTTGTTGGTTCTTACCTTTAATCTCATCCTAATTGCCACTTCTTCTATCAATAGAATTTTAAATTATTCGGGTGAAATTGCAAGCCTCTCTAGCAAAATAGCTAATTGATATTCACGGTCTATTTAATTTCTTAATTTTCCTGTTGTCTGTAGGTAAAGTTGACTAAGAAGGTTACAGAACAAGTAAGACTACTTGCAAAGGATGAAAATGAGAAACTTACAGAAAGAAACTTATATGATATAATTCCTCCCTATGACCAAGCAAATGCACTTGGTAAGACAAATATTGATGTTGACCGAATAGCTGCTGGATTACCTTGTGGTAGTGAAGGATTTCTACTAATGTATGCTCGATGGAAAAAGCTTGAAACGGACTTGTACAATGAACGCAAGGAGTAAGTATTTTACCTTTTCCGGTTTAATATTGTTACTGTGTTTTTCCCTTGTTTTATTTCTTATGGTAGTCAGAAAAAAATAGTTCCATACATGACCGAAATCACGCAGGAGTTTTTCTGAAACAAATTATTTCTTATGTAAGAAGTTAAAAGTTAGTACATAATTTATGATGACATTGTCTAGATTTTTTCTTAATCCGTGGATGTAATTATTTTTTAATACAGACATCTACTTAAGCTATCTCACCTAATTTATTTTTGTTCTGTTTGTAGAAATATATATAGTATTTTAGTTGTATCTTGCACCACGTTAAATAACTGAAGAAAGGTGGCTTTTAGGCCACTTTGTCAAAAAAAAAGTGTGAAAAAGCTATTACTTAGAATTTTTACCTGTGCCTGTTAGTTAAAGTGTTTCTAAAAATTGATACGTTCAGTTTTGAAATAACACTTTCCGATGGCAATTTCACTTGCAATTCCATGAATGCCAGTACCTTGCATGTGTTGCCAACGGGCTTCTGTTTTTCTGGTTGTATATGTGTTTTAGATTGGCAGACACACTAACAGTACTTTTACACGTACACAGACGCTATGATATCACCCAAATTCCTGATGTTTATGATTCATGCAAGTAAGTCATCCCTTTTATCTTTTTGTTTTTATTATTATTTAGTAGTTCATTTCCAACTCTACACTATTTGTGCAATATTGCAGTTATGGGGATAGATTATGATTATTTTCTGGAACTCTATCATTGAATAATGTAATTTAAATAAAACAACTGTGTTCATTGCTATCATTTCTGGGAGCTTTTTCATTTAGATTTCAAGGGGAAATTATATTATCGAAGATTCTTTTGTTTCCCTATGGCTATAATGGTACTGGCGCTAAAATTTAGTTCTCTTTTAGTTTCCCCAGGACTCTTGGATATTTTTGTATCAAAGAACTAAAAGTTCAAATTGTTTGATTAAACGTGGCAATTGTAAAGATATAAGCAAATATGAATCAAGGACACTATTCAATTATTAAAGTTAAATTTTTAATGTCGCACCAATAACAAGGAGTCATCAACCAAGCCTCATCCCACTAGACCCCTCCTGGAGGTTTCATTTCAATTATGTATGTTTAATTATTTTCTGATGGTAAGTTAATGTTGACTTTCTTACAGATATGATCTTTTGCACAATGCACATCTTAATCTAGAAGGACTGGATGAGCTTTTCAAAGTTGCTCAGGTATGTAGAACTATGTTTGGTATAATGCTGCCTGATTAAAAAATGACAAGATTTTAAAAGAGATTAGAGAGAATTAAATCGAGATCAGAGAGGAAGGTGTGAGAAAAAAACAATTTAGTACTAGAGACTTTATCTATTTGTAATGGTGAGAAAGAGAGAAAAGACAGAATGAATTCCGTGTGTATAATTTCCACCATGGATACTCTTATTTATGATGAGTTATAAATACAAGGATTACCGATTTCCGTAATTTATACACATAAAACTAAAATCCCACAGTATCCGTAATTACAATATTTACGTAATTCTTAGCACTCTCCCTCAATTTACAGCATGATGCTAGTTAAGTAGACAACTAATTCAAAGATTTCTCAACGAGATTTGTGAGGACGTCTTCTAGTTTTTTATCATTTGAGTTAACAAATCATCCGGTTTTGATACATATGTATTTTCTTTTTTTATGATAACAAAAATAATAAAATTATAATTATGAAAATAAATATAATAATTTATATAATAATTTTTACAATTTGATTGTAAATATTGATTATTTATTTTGTAAATTATTTTTATTTATTTAATTTAAAAAATAGTCAAGTTTCAAAAAATGGTTAGATAGAAAAAATGGCTAAATTTTAAAAAAAAACGGTGATAAAATTGAAAGAAAATGTGCACAACAAAAAAGTGAATTTCCTTTATAATGGTATAGATGTTTGGCCATGTTTGGTTGTCATGAAAATATTGGATTTGAGACAACATGCGCTAGTGCTTGATTGTAAAATAAAGGGTCATCTGTGCAAATTTCCCCACCTCAGTTCTTAGAGCAATTCTTCGAGCTAGATTAAGTTCAAAAGTGGCTTAGGGCGTGTCTCGATGATTAGCTTCTGACTTTATGCTGCAGGAAATCTCTTTTCAGATTATTAGCAATAAGAATTGTGTTGCCATAAGGGCCATGTATTAGCATCATTCAACCTATATCAGGCAATTCTGGACAGTGTTGGTTTAGCCTTTCGGAAAGAAACTATATAATTAAATCACTCGAATTTATTACTTAGAATATTCCCTGCACAGAAATAAAACCTCTAATACGTACTATTTTCCTTTGTATATTGGCTAATTTGTTCAATCTTATCACTTCCCTAATTGCTTAGCCTATTTATTTGTAGATGCTTGCAGATGGTGTAATTCCAAATGAGTATGGAATTAATCCAAAGCAGAAGCTGAAGATTGGAGCAAAGGTAAACTCCCGTTGTAAAGATTACTTTTTCATTTTACCTTACAAACCTCTAAAGAGTAATCATAGTATTCCCTTCGGCATAATCATAGAGCCAGCCACCCAAGAGAAGGAAACCAAAACCATACCATCGTCATTGATATCCACTGAATTATATGGAGCCCTAAGAACTTCAGCATGAGACACCTCCAGAGATCTCTCTCACACCCCTAAAGACCCATGGTTCGCTTTATATATTGTTGATATTCATTGAGAATAATGTATTTCAGTTTGTACACTATGAATTTCTGTATCAGATTGTCTGAGGCATAAGTGCGTTTTGAAGTAATCTGTGTTTTATGCTTTCTATCTTGAGGAAGAAAGCAGAATTCATGTTTTATAAATCTTGTGGAATTGATATTTAACCTGAATTTTTTAAATATGTTGCACAAAAGGTTCAACTCCACCTTTTAAGTGTTATTGCCGTACCATGTTGCCTCACCTTGATTGTAAAAATTGATAACCTTATAAATTTCTTTCGTCATACTATATCCACATTGATGATTTAAATGTTGCACAAAAAGAAGCTTTTTATAACGTCTTCAGTTTCGTGCAGGTTATATTGTTTATGAACATGTACTTAAAACTCTAGCCACCTGGTTAATTTTCTTTATGCTGTTTCAATTCAGGTTGCTCGTAGGTTGCTGGGGAAGCTTTTAATTGATCTGAGGAACACTCGAGAGGAAGCCATTAATGTTATAAAGAACAACGAAGACCTTTCATTATCTGAAAAAATTAAGAAAGATGCAGAGGCCAAATCAAAACTATTCCATAAGAATGACGAAATAGATCAAGATGATGATGATGATAAAGAAACCAAATATCGTTTAGATCCAAAGTGAATATCAAGTCCTCATGTGATTTTCTACACTATTTTGATCTACTCTATTTTAATCTTCTTGTTTTGCACCAGGTATGCAAATGTGAAGACACCTGACCGCCATGTGCGAACACGCCTGTACTTCACATCAGTGAGTGTTGTATCCACACTCGCCTAACGAGAGATTGAAGAGTAATTATTGGAGCTGTTTTGAAATATAAAGTTGATAAGCAGGGCAGCTAATAATATCCTGTTGGCATATTGTATTGATTTATTAACCGAACAAAATTATCAAAAGCTCATATGTCAAGTTATAGTTATATCAAAACCTCAACTACAAATATGCATTTATCTGAAATTCTAAATGGATACATGAAAACGAACTGATGCAGAAAATTTGCAGCTTAGAATTGTCTGTAAATTTGATCTTCAAACTCTGTTTCACTTGGATAATTTTGTTGATAGGAATCACACATACATTCTCTTATGAATGTTCTTCGTTACTGTAATTTGGATGAATCCCTTCAAGAAGAAGAGGGTCTTGTCTGCCATAGTGCTCTAGAGCGACTATCTAAAACAAAGGAGCTTGACTATATGAGCCACATTGTTCTTAGGATGTTTGAGAACACAGAGGTGAGTCATTTTGACCATTTACATGTAGAATTACTAATTATTCCCAAATGTTTGGCGTTACAGGAATAGATTAAGTTATTGTAGTTCCTTAGATGTTTTAATAATATCAAATTGATCGTAGGAGTGTGTGTGTGTGTGTATATATATATATATGTTTGTATCTGTGGAACCTTCTTTTGACTTTGAAATCACAGGTAGCTTTAGAAGATCCTAAAAGGTACCGCATAGAGCTGACCTACAGCCGTGGTGCCGATCTATCTCCCCTGGAGGTAAATAATATGCAATAAAATACATTTTGCATTATGTTCATTTGTTAATACCATATCGGCGCCCTTGTGGTATTGAAATCCCTCTTATAGGTTATCCAAAGAGAAAAATCATATTGAAATCCCACTCAATGTCAATGCATGTTATCTGTTGTTTCATAGAAGTGGAAGCCTTAACTGATAGCATCATTGCAAAAAGCTTCCTTAGTTTTATGTACTGAATCCATGTAAATTCCGTTATGTTACGTGAGGAATATACGCAAACATGCTGAATTTTCAAAAGCTTACATAATTGTGTTATCTATATGGTTGGCAGAAGGAAGGTAGTGAGTGTACACTGCACCAGGAGCACACACTGCCCATCATGGGTCCCGAGAGGCTGCAACAAATAGGATCATATTTGACATTAGAAACCATGGAAAACATGATTCGTCCATTTGCTATGCCAGCAGAAGACTTTCCTCCTACACCTGCAGGATTTTCGGGCTACTTCTCAAAAAGCGTTCTTGATCGTCTCGTAAATCTTTGGCCTTTCCATAGGCAATTCAGTAATCTTGGAAAATAGTCCTACACATTTAATCTGTCCTTCCTCTTTTATTTTTTTCACTTCAATATATTTTTGCTTTCTGAAAATCTAATGTCCTTTGGAATAGTTTTCCTTACATTTTATTTTTTTATTTCTTCAAATGTACAAAAATTATGTAATTTGGTCCACAGAGGGGGACCGAAATGCATCGTCCGACAGAAGAATTAAAAGTAAATAAAATTTGAATACAAGCCATTTTAATAGTATTCTACTTGAGACAATTATTTAAGCTTTTCTTTTATCGTACTGTAAACTTTTGATTATCCAAAGCCTGCTTTTGGTGTCTCCTTTGGAAAAAATTTGGGACAACTAGTTACTTTACATTACCTAATTTAGAAAGTGATTTATGACTTCTGAAATAAGTAATTCAAAAGATATTTGACCATTTCATATTGACCAATATGGAAGGTTGTAACATGTGTTATTTAGAAAATATTTTATACTTATGGATTACTTGTTTCACGGTATAATTACTTTTCTGAAATCTAATGAATTTATTTGATAGAATTATGATGGATGATTAATTGGAGTAAAATATCATATAAAGTCTATATATTGATTGGTATGGATGAAGTTGATGTTATTATGAAATTTGAACTAACTATATAAGAACTAGTTAAAGGAGACTGTTGTATTCTCACAACAATTGAGATGTATAATGTATTTTGGTAATTTTACTCAATATGAGCAAAAGACCGTGTTTAGTAATTTTTCACAATATGAGATGTACTATGTAAGTGTTTAGAGTGTGAAAACTCGTGTTTTGATCGTCGTAAAAAAGTGACAAATATAAAAAGATTTTTCAATTCACAAGAATTGAAAAAGAAAATATGAATATATTTAAATTGTGTTCTAATGTAGTAAATAGCAATAGAGGATTTATTTCCAAATTACTCTATGATATCATAATAATGAAATAACAAATAAATAAGTAGGTTATTGTGAGAGATCTTGTTTTTAGTTATTTTTTTCTCATTTTTAATTTGTATATCTCAAAATGCACACTTATTTTGTAATTATCTTCATTGTGCTCCTTTTAAGTCAATAAAATGTTTATTTTGTAATTATATTTATTGTGTTCCTTTTAAGTTAATAAAATGTTTATAGACTTCACTAAACCCTTAGATCATCCTAACAAACACAGCTTTTATTATTTCTAGATCTCCACAATATGAATGACCTATTTATTTATTTGCTAATTCATTATTATGACCCGCTCCCCCAAATTTTTCTTTTTATATTTATATAAATTAATATATAATTTAAAATACTTTTTAAACTTTAATGTATTTTTAATATATTTTATATATTTGGCACTTCCAAAAATTTGTATACATCTATATAAAGATTTTGACATTCCTAATATATGTGTTGAAAATTCGTCACTGCTTAGCTCCCATGTCATCCCCATCAACCACAAAGCCTCGTTCAACCCTTTTTTGACTGCAAATTCACTTTCCAGCAAATTGTAGTTCCAAATTATTTGAGTTCCAACAAATGTGACATCCTTCTTATGAAGCATTACCAATCATGGTGTGTCACTCCTTGAATTCTTGAAATATTCAAGATATAAATTTACAACCTACGCAAGTAATTGTCTATGATAGTGAGAAAATAAGACCCACCACCATCACTCTAAACTCATTTTAAACCACAAAGGTTTGCATTAACACATTCAAACAATTTATTAAATACGTGCTCATAACTTACAAAACAAAGTATACATTTATCATAAAAACTTCAACTTCTTCATTCTATCATCTCTTAACGGCTTCTATTTCTCTAACTTGACTATATTTTCTTACTTATATTTTTAACCTCAGAAATAAACTATTATTTTCCACCTTTTTAATAATTACAGTCCTTTAAAATCTTTATAATACTTCGTTTAACAAACTCATAATTAACCATATTAATTGATAAAAAATTTCTTTTAAACTGTAAAATTTATCTCTTGATACAATATCTCCTAATTATCAATCATATTAGTATATTTGAATTCATCTCAAATAATTAGATGTAATATTATCACCTATACTAGTATGATTTTTTCTAAAAAAATTATATAATATCCATAAGTATCTAATAGAAAGTATAGAAGCAGTTAAATTTGTGGTGTAACATATTCAACATGAACTTGAAAAGCATAGACATAAAAGGACTAATTCTTAAGACTCTATCATAAAGGCACAGCAGGAATATTAGATTCTTCGTCATCAAGATTTAGGTGTCAAATAAAGATATCACCAATTGAGTATTTTAAAAGGTGAGGATCATGTTCCTTTACCAATGAGTCAATCCACATTATTGATTTCACTATTAACTTTCTAGAAGAATTTCTTTTAACAAAACTATAAATCAATGTTTTTCAGTGACCCTGATAATACTCAGAATGGCAAATTCACCAACTTCACACTTACTATATTTGAAAATCACATTTAAAAACTTTTATGTCATTCATCAATAATTTCAAATATGCTTTTCAATAAATGACAATTTTGTTTGATTTAATTTGTAATTTTTTTTCACCATTTTAATCCTTATTTATAAAATCTGTACTTTTTTACCAAGTCTTTAATTTTGCTAACATTTTAAACCTTAAATTTAACATTTTCATCCAAAATATCATTAACAAATAATGAATCAAATATGTTTTAATCCCTAAACTTCAACCCAAAATTAAAATTTCTTTTTGTCTCTTTGATACATTTTAATTCTTAATATTTAAAAATAAATAAATATAATTATTTTAATATAATGATGTTAGTTATTTTTACCTGTTAAATAGTATTTCATGTTGGTATTTGAATTAGAACGAGTCAAATAATCTAAATAACTCGAATACTAGTCTAAAACATCATTTATTACATAAAAAATTATATAATTTAATTTAAAATATTATATTAATTCATTTTTAAAATTACTAAAACTTATCAAATTTTGAAATAGAATGAATTTCAATTTCAAAATTAAAAAACTAAAAACACATAAATAAATTTAACTATAAGTAAATGGATTAAAAATACATTTAACTCATACATAATTTTAATTGTCATTTAATAATACAGTTTAAGTTCCTTTAATTCTCAACATTTTTTAAGGAGAATAAATTTAGATGTAGTAATTAATTTTAAGAATTTTATTTCAACGGCTTTGAATTAATACCATACAAAGAAAAAAAAAACTTCTTTATCTTTTAACAGAGTTTGTTATAATACACTTAATAATTTCATATTATTTAATTATCTTAAACTATTGAATATAGCAAAACATTAATAAATTAAAATATAAAAAAATAAACAAACATAAAATTTATCTAAACTTTATCTTTTTAAATAACTTTGGAACTCATTACGAAATAGAAATATAAAAAGGTGGCAATCAATTCTTTTTTTTAAGGGCAAATAGGATGAAAAATGAGAATAAAGTTTCCTAAGACAATTTTCTTATCTGGTCGGAATCTTGCATCTTATGTCGCTTCCAATATTTGGCTTAAATTGAATTCCCAATCACTTGCATTTTGGACAACCAACAGTAGCTATATAACAACCATTTATTCATCTCACTAGTTTTTCTAATACTTTTTTTTTTTATTTCAACTTAGATATGAAAACACGTATAAGATATTTTAATATAATTATTATATCACATTTCTAAATCAATAGTAAATTTTCTAATGATTCCTTAAGCTTTTTATCGTATTTTTACGCTTCTTTCAGTTATTCGTAAGCATATTTTCTTTATATGATTCCTTTTGATGCTACTATTTATGCCCTAAAAGAAAACTATCAGAATGGTTAATATCAGATATGTAGTGAGAAAGAAAAATAAAATAAAATCACATTTTTTTTAAAAGAAAAAATAACAAGATAAGATAATAACAATATCTTTGGATTAAAAAATTAATATAAATATTTTTAAAAATTAAAATAATTAAGATAGATCCACTTAACAATGATCAAATTTATGAGACATTTAAAATTTGATTAAATCTAATTTTAAACAATACTAAATCTCTTTTTATATGATGATAAGTTACATATTCATAAATATAAATCATATATTTGAAGCGGTACAAAAGTTGGGTTTTGATACCTTTCTCGGGTTTACCAAACAGTGCCCAAAATAATTATTGAGAAATTCTTTTTTTCTTTTATGCTTCAACCGATATTTTAAAATAATAAAAATAAAATGGAAACGAAAGACGAAAATCACGTTTGGAATTCAAAATTGGACCACTCCACGTCACACTGTCAACGGAAGCTTTCAAACTTTTCTACTTTTTTTTTATTATTATTATTATTATTTCATCGGTTAATTTAACAACAATGAAATTTCGAACACTTCTCTTACATTTTTATCTTATTTTTCCTATTTTTAATTACACATACAACTCAGTTGCACTTGTATCTCATTTACAACTGTATAAATTTATATGTTTACATATAATCATATTAGTTGGATCATTATGATAGTATAATCCACAATATCAGTTAGGTCCCAATTGCATTAGATGGCTCTTTTAATATCATAATTATGTGATTTTTAATACTTTCATGTATTGAAATGTATTATTATTTTTATTTTAATAATTTATTTTCTTGTTCTTATCACTAAACAAAGTGTGGTTTTTAAAGTTTATAAGGGAGAGGAAGAAAAGAAAAATAAAAAAAATAAGAGAATAAAGATTCATTGATAATGAAGATTCATTTTCTATATTTATTTGTTAGAGGAAAAGTTTATTTATAACTCAAAACTTCAATAATTACAAATAGTTAAATTAGTTATATGAGTAATGGTAACAAATCAATCATATAAATAATTGTAATAAATTAATGGACGATCATTTGTTTATAATACTATTTTTTATGTGTTCATTTATTAAACAAGGTGTCTATTTAAAACTTTATTAAGAAAACCTCTTTAGGATAAAAACCTAGTGAAGGAAAAATAATTCAATATTATTTATTTTTTAATATAATATTTTTCATCACAAATTTTATTTTTTCTTCTCATGTCAATTTACATCATTAAGACAACAAAGCACAATCTTATGAATCGATTAATCAAAAGTTCTCCTTGATAAAAGCTTTACAAATACATCTATCAAATCTTCATATAAAGAAATCTTTTGGATTTCTATATCACCATTTTAATGAACAATGCACTATTGTCTTCATATATGCTTGTTGATTCGATTCTTCTCGA